CCCACTCATCAGTGCTGGGTCTCGTCCCAGGACCTGTCACAGCAGGGTGAGAGGGGCAGCAGCAGTAACCACCCCACAGAAGGGTGAGATGGCAGATGGGACAGGTCACTGTCCCCCACGTACCTGTGCCTCAGCAGAGGGTGTCAGCAGCGCAGGCAGGTCTGGGGGAGGAGGGAAGAGTCACCACTGGCACCCGTAGCCCTGCACTAGGCATCCCCCCCAGCATCACCCCAGGGATGTGGCACCCACCCAGCCCAGCTCTGGACCACCCACCCTGAGCAGGTTCTAGCCCCAGCAGCTCCCACCCCTAGCTGGGACCATTCTCTCTGGATTGTCCTATCCTGTCCCAGGGCACAGCTCCATGGGACAGTAGGCAACCAGGAAGTGAGCCCTGGCATTGAGCAGTGTCAGCACAGCCTCCCAGGGGGCACAGGCACTCCTTTAGCACTTACTCTCAGGGCTGGAGGGAGCTGAGACCTCTGCACCCATGAAAAAATGCCTCCTGCACCACTCTGGGCTGTGGACACTGCAGTGTGGGAACCAGGAATGTGGGCACCAGGAGCGTGGGCACCAGCAGTGTGGGCACCAGCAGTTGTGACCACCAGGAGTGTGGGCGCTCGCAGTGTGGGCATTGACATTGTGGACACTGGTAGCATGTGCACCAGCAGTGTGGGGACCAGGAGCAAGGGCACTGGCAGCCACAACTGGAGCATGGCACACACACACAGCTAGAGCATGGCACACACACAGCTGGAGCACAGAACGTACACACACACACACAGAGGCTGGAGCACAGCAGACACAGAGCCCAGGACACAATCCTGGGCAGCTCTGGCCCTTCCTGCAGCCACAGGACAAGGAACATGAGTGGCCTCTGCAGTGTCTCCAGGGCTCCAGGCTGCGCTTCCCAACCACTAGCTCTGCACTGAGCTGATCAATGCGGCAGCCAGAACGATGTGCCAGCCGTGTGCCAGCCAGGAATGGACAGGGAGGGCAGCTCAAGTGGTGGCCCCACCATGATGCCCATGACCACCCTGTGCCCCCCAGCTGCGCCCAGCTCCCACTGCAGTGCCAGTCTCTGGGATGCCACCACCATCCTCGACCCGGTGCCTAGCCAGTAGGCTGAGC